CCTCCGTAGACAAAACCGCACTGGACAGCTGGTGCTTCGCCTACTTTTTTTATTAGAAAATACGCTCGGCTTACTAGCTTCTTCGGATTCCCCGGCTTTCCGTTGGTCTTGGAGGCACCTGCTGCATTTGTAGTACACCCATTCGTAACTCAAAATGGTGTTGGTGCTTTGATTACTGGATGGACGCACAAATATCACAAAGTTATGCTTCATGTATTCATTTAAGGTCTTCTCAAATCCCGTGAAGGATGAAAACGATACACCCACAAATTTCTCATAGAAAGCCACTTCTGAGGCCATAGAAGGCGAAGTTCAAAGCCAAATGTGCTCCAATAATTTTCAAAAGAGATCCATAAAAACAAACAGCAAAAAGTGACGGCAGATGAGGGTGGTTTACAGTTCACGCATATATGCAAAGAAGTGCAACGTTTTGACGTAAAGTTTTTAATTTCGACCGCAGGGGTTTTACAGAAAAATGCATTGTGCGTCTAGCCGCTGGCGTTTAATCTACCGGCAGGCCTGCATATGAGGCTGCCGCCCCGAGTTTTCTTAGTGTTCTTCCTATAATGTCCGCAACTGTGGATATTCGACCCCATTGTCTACCTGTCGAACTGTCCGTAGATGGGATTTTCTCCCTCGTCTGTTTTTAAATCTGTGAAACAAGTTTCCATTCCATGTCTATTCTGTGTCTTAGCAGATGGTCTTCCGGAAGACCCCCGATTCTCACCTTTCTGTTGAGACAGCCGAGCACATAAGTAAGCTTCTCTGCTAAGTGTTCTTGGCCATTAATTGCCCGCTTGCTCATCTCCCATGCAGAACCCTCACCTCCTGGGACTGCATTTGCACCTGCTCTCTGAAGTTCAGCTCTTTTACTTAATGTCTAATGCATGTCTTTTACAGTTTGCACGCTGTGCCCAATGACCCTGTCATATTTCCTTACCTTCTGCACTTAGCTTCTTTGACCGGACTACTTAATCCTTCTCCTTCCAAGCCGGGTTCTGTACCTGAACGATTGTGTTGGATCTATTCGATGTTTGATAGTTTGGTTTGCCTAGTTCTCAGTAACAACAACCAAAATGAAGCCCTATTTCCTCGCTTTCCAGAACCATTCCGCACGCCCTGATCAGGCGCAATGCACATCAAACGGTGAGTTTGGAGATGTGCAATGAATGAATTACTGGTGTTGGTTTCACTGCCGTTTCTTTCACACAACGCTGCAGTGCACCTCCGCTTGGAATGCTTGTTCATACCAAGGCTCCGTCTTCGTTTCACCACAGTACGCAGGCTCTGGAGATCTCCATTCTAATCCTATGGCCCAGATGTTAGCTGCCGTTTCATTTGCCTTGGCGGCGTGCCTTTTCCAGTGGCTGTTTGCTGTTTGCTTGCTCAAACTGAGCTGTTTTACTGGTCAGGCTTCTCTGCTGGCCAGGTAAAATATCTGCTAACTGGAGTTCTCTTATATTGCACGGGCGCATCGCCCATCGACGGTATTTCTGGGCCTGATCTTTAATTTTGGAGACCCATAAAAGAGCCTCGCTTTGTTTGTCGGTAGCTGGTGTGGATTTGCTTCGTTTGTCATTTATCTGGCGAAAACCTGAAACACAAGCAAAGGACAATTGTCCCTTTGTCTTCCTCATAAAACATGCATGGGTTGGTCTCAAGATATTCCACGAGGATCATGGCTAACACCGACGTGCAAAAAGTCACCACCTTCGTCTTTGTTGGGGTTGCACCACCCGTGGACAACTTCGCCAGCCAGTCATAACACCCGTTCTTCCTGCATTTTGACGAAGTGATCTTATGCATATATAACATAAAGACCTTATCATCTCTTGACTACGAGCCATCATGGCTAGCGCCTTTGGTTGTTTTGGCCATTAGCTATTTGTTGATTGGAGCTGACAGCGATGAATCAATTACTGCCGAACCATATTTCTACCTGCCTGTTCAGCTCACGTTGTACCTTCCAGTTACACTACAGTTCTCACATATAATTTCGTAAGCTCCCTCGCAACAAATCCTTATCAGTCGGCTGTCCTTCTTCACAATAACCCTCTGTCACTTTGCAAAACAAGGATTCATTGTTTGTATTCTTCAGCTGGGCTGAAACTACTTCAGCTCTCTGTCTAGCTCACTCTAATATCGCCCGTATCAACTCTTCCAGCGGATAGCCTCCTTCTCGCTACCCCGGGGATACGTCTTTACCTTACCACACTCAGGCGCCTACTGTGGCCGCGGTCTTGCACCTTCTGATCGACTGACCCTCAGTACAAACTTGAAACACCACTCTGAAAATCAGTGATAGTGTATTGTATCAGGATCTGAATGTATGGCATACAAGTAGAGCAGAATTCAACAATCGACAACTTAAGCCACTTGGATGCTGGGTTAGCCAACAAAAATTCACCCTTTCATGGGTTCATTCAGTTTGCTATCATCCGATTTACACTATTTTTCCCATTGGACTCCCTTTTATCTGATGCTTCCTTCACCTTATCCCTTTTTCATTTCCCATTTTTCCCAAGTGCCAAACTCCGGCAATGGCTGCTGAAAACACTTCTTACGACAAACATTCGCTCAATCTTCCAGATCTTTGGTTTAATTTGCATGGTTTTCCGACTGAATCAAAATTACCCGTGACTCTAAATAGGCTTGGCTCTACATGTGTCAGTTCCGATGTCTGACCCAGCTCCAGCCGCATCCCTTGTCCGAATGCCGCAACCTTGACCTCTGTTACGGGGCTATACAGAAACCGAAATGTCAGTGCAATGATAGCGCGGTACTGCCATGCACAGTCAGGTTGCACCTTGCAATTATTTTCTTCATTCCCTCAAAATCACCTCTCGCTCGCTCGAGCCTGTATTTGCAGCTGCGAAAAAATTTTCCACTCGGCCTCAACCGCCCCTGGGACGAGTTCGTTCTAACCCGTTGGGTATTTTTTATCAAATTTAACCGACCGTTAGGAGGTGACTGGACCTTACCGTTGTGTGACGGTTTGCGCACCCATCGAATGATTGAGCTATAGTGGGGGGTGTCGCCGTGACATTTTCAGACTCCCGTATCTAGTTGTTAAACACAGTCTTCTGATCCTCCATGTTGGTGGTTGGAACGTGTAGAGGTTTGTTCCGAAGAAATGGTAGTGCATTTGTATTCCTTGCCAACATCGCTGTTGGGCTCTTGAACCAAATGCTTTGGTTGAGGACACTGATTGTACTCCTCTCTAGGTGTGGGCGCCCCAACAGCATTAAAGCCCACGTACAACAATGAATTACAGACACAAATAAACTCATATAACATCGGCCATTGCGTGGTGCTATCATGCGGATAGCAGGGCGGGTAAGCGAAAAAAGGCTACTGCTGACGCCTCCCTTCTTTCTCTTTCACATAATTTTTTCTTGCTCCCCAACCCCATTATTAACCTCCTCTTGAAGGACCAGTACACGGGACCGTTGTCTCTGCTCGTCACGCATCGATTGTGCGTACATCTACTCGTCACATAACGCCGACATCGGCAGTTACCTTCAAATCAATCTTCGGGCTTTGACACCCTGTTTATATGGCCACCTTCAATGCGCTCACTCCGAAGTAAAACGGACAAGCTGCTTTTGCTCTCACACTGGACTCGCTTGGCATTGACATGCGCTGTGTCTGATGATCCAGAGGCTACTGCAGCAGGATGTGCAGGGTTTAGTATCGTTTTGAATCTCAGGACGGACGTATTCTTGCTTTACCGGATGCTTATTGATGGTTCCAGTTGGGCGCCTCGTTTGGCAACGTCTGTGAAGGAGTCTCACCAGCGGGAAGTTGATATATATTTGTTTATCGTGCTTCCTTCGCCACAACCGACTGTGACTCCGACGCCGTCGAATACAGGTTGTATGACGCGCTGAATGTCCTGTCGTGACGACCTCAGGCCTTGTGATGGTTGCGGGAGATTAAAATGCAAACGTAGGAAGGTTTAGCATATCTTAGACTCAATTAGGAGGTCCACATGGATTATACTCGTTAAGTACGGAAAATGGTAAACGATTGCTCAAGCTGTGCGTAGATCGCAAGCTGTAATTATGCAGTGCTAACTTCCGAGATGGCCGAGGTCGCTAGCCACATAGTGTCTTCCAGCAGCATGCCGGCCACAAACTCAAATAGACCACATTGCCATTAGTTACAGGTGGCGTGGATCAGTAACTAACTGCCAGTCATTTTGGAACATATTTGCGGATTCCGACCACGTACTCGTCCGAGTCGCTTCCCTTTACCTTTTCCAGCTGCGGACAGACAGCTTGGCAACTAAAAGACTGGCAGATCCAGATGTCGACCGAACTTACCAGAATCGTCTTTTGGAGTCTCTACCAAGTATTTCACTGTCAGATGCGAATTTATACTGGCACGATTTGCCAACATTTTCATAATGCTGTGGCAAGGCGCACTCAGGCTTTGGATATCACCGAATGGGTGAACTCCTTAAATCTCGCGGAAATATCGCAGCCAGCCAGGAACATAACTTGGCGCGACGAATTATTAGACGCCAAGTGAAGGTGAGTGTGAAAGTCGACAGTGAAGTGTGGTGGACACAAAAAGCCAAGGAAATGGAAGAGGCCAAGAAAGCCGGAAATATCCGAGGCTTATTTTATTCGATGCGTGCAGCCGGGCAACGGAAACAACCTGTGGGCGAAACCATTAAATCGGAAGAAGGTGGCCATTTAGAATAAACAAGAACGCCTCAACCGTTGGGACGGATACTTCGAAGAAAAATTGTCGTGGCCACCAGCTGGCACTCATCTCGAGCCCCCGCGGTGAACGTGAAACTGAATACGGCATCAGAAATTTATTACTGCATATGTTCTCTTGAGCGTCACCGGGCCATTGGTTCGGACAATCTCTCATCCGCATTGTTCAGAACGGGGGTGAAGTCTTCAGTTTTTGCTCGCCTAGTCTGCTTGCTTGTATTTGCGGGGATGAGTCTGCGATAATGCCGATTTTTTACAATGGTTTGTAACAAGTGGAGCGATCACAGGGGGAACAGCTTGACCCCGGCCGTAGCGATGTTCTTGGCGTCAGTTTTGCTTCGTCGCCTTGCGGTGGCGTGGTGGTGGTGGAGACACTGACCCGAGAGAATCACGTGGGATTCCGGCCTGATACGGGTAGCGTTGGCCAAATCCTTACACTTCCTCAGGTGCTAGAACAACGCAATACATATAAGCGGCCAACATTTCTAGCGTTCCTAAATTTCCAAAGCACTTTTGACTCGGTTGTCCTGCCTGACAAGCTTGCCAACCAAAGGATGCCCCAAAAGTTAGTGAATATAATATGCTCGTTATATTCCGGACGGGTGAGAGTATACGGCGAGCTCTTCAAAAGCTTCCGTACACAAAGTGATGTCCGCCAGGGGTGCCCACTTCCCCATTCCTGTTTAAATTTGTGACCTACGAAATCATGAGACATGCGGCGGAACCCGGTGTTCAAATAGCCTATGATGACATCCTTGTTGATCAAACGAGACATCGTTCTCATGTTCGAAGGGGAGGAGGAGGCGGGATAGTTCTTGGATGAACTGACCACCGTCATCCCGCCCCTTACTAAGAACTCTGCACCCACAAATTTTAAGGTCATGCTCAAGGAAATGCAGTCATTCAACATGCCACTTACAATCCAGGGGGAAGTATTTGAAGTTATGGATTGTTTGACTTTTCAAAGAATTTGCATTAGTTTCAACCGCATGAGTCAGTGCACGAGTCTGCCAGGCTCGCCTGGCGTTCGCTCATTTGAGACGCCTATGGCGTCAGTGTTATGTCCCTGAATAGCAAA